GTATGGAGGGTGGCTCGTAGATTGGAGTCAGGAATGATTGGCATCAATGAGGGTCTCATCTCTACTGCAGAAGGAGCATTTGGAGGTGTCAAGCAGTCAGGCATTGGAAGAGAAGGATCAAGGCATGGTATTGATGATTACACCTATTTAAAATACATATGCTTAGGAGGCATAAATTAAGTTGTCATTTAAGCTTGAACATATCAAGAGGCTTTATTTTATTTTATTTTATTATTTATATTTTTATTTTTATTTTTATTTTATTTTTTTTTATTTTCATAAGATAATCTTTATTGAAATGATTGCAAAGAGTTCGAAAGAGTAAGTACAAAGTCCATGTAGGAATTAACACCTGAGAAGAATGAGTACAGTAATCTTTAACAATGTGATCACTGAAAATTCCGATTACAGAAATTTTTTTCTAATCTAGACATATTTGGGGGAAGGCCTGTATGGTTATACGCATAAAGCGAGGGTCCGTGTACTGTAAAACAAAAAATATAAAATTAAAATACGTTAAATATAAAAAAAAATACAGTAATACCCCAATTTACGCGGTTTCGCTTTACGCGATTCTACATTTACGCGGTACCTAGCCAGAACCGGAATTTCATTTTACGCGGTGCATCTACTCATATACGCGGGTGAAGTATAATTTTTTTATTTAGCTCATAAAATTCATACAAATTACCTGGCCAGGATATAATTTACATTGCTGGAATTCTTACTCTTGATGATCATTTTGAATATAAACATCATGGATTTTGCATTAGACATACAAATTTGAGATCTAATGTAATAATTTGGTTTACACAAAGCAAATATTTTATCTTTTCTGCAAAATATATGAAGTTTACATTCAAAATATTCCCTGATCTGCAAGGAATCCAGAAATGTCAATTATATTATCCTAACTTTAGTCTGAAGTATTATTTATTACTAAAAACGTAAATATACTGTTTTCTCCCAATATATTTCTCTGGTAGGGAGGGAGAGAGGGAGGGACCGACCCAGCTAGGGCGGAGATAGGGTATTTTGATTGACAGATAGTGTCGGTGAAGAATATTTTTTTTTTATTAACTGAAGATATTTGTTTTAACTCATAAAATTCATACAAATTACCCGGCCAGAATATAATTTTCATTGCTGGAATTCTTACAATATGATGATCATTTTGAATATAAACATCATGGATTTTGCATTAGACATACAAATTTTAGATGTAATGTAATAATTTGGTTTACACAAAGCAAATATTTTATCTTTTGTGCAAAATATATTAAGTTTACATTCAAAATATTCCCTGACCTGCAAGGAATCCAGAAATGTCAATTATATTATCCTAACTTTAGTCTGAGGTATTATTTATTACTAAACGTTAAAATCTAGTGTTTTCACCCAAACATTTCTCAGAGAGGTAGGAGCTAGTGAGCTGGGAAGAGGGGGGGGGGATTTGAGTCCATTATTTGAATGGACATTAACCTGGCGACTGTATTTCTCTTAAATATTAATTGTGTGAGCATACCATCAAAAAATTTAGATGTTATTTTTACTACAACATAGGTATTGTGTCGGAAAAAGTGGAGTTTGGGGGTCGGGCCAGTCTCTATTGGAATTTATCCCATATGTTCTGTTGTTCACTTTATGCGGTTTTCACTTTCTGCGGTACCCTGTGGGTTCAATTGACCGCGTAAATCGGGGTACTAATATATATATATATATATATATATATATATATATATATATATATATATATATATATATATATATATATATATATATATATATATATATATATATATATATATATATATATATATACACAGCCCGACCCCCAAACTCCACTTTTTGACGACAAATAACTATGTTGTAGTAAAAATTCTATCTTAACTTTATGGTGGCATGAAAAACAAGTAATATAGAAGAGGTTAGGTTAGGAAAGATAAAGGTTAACATAGGAAAAATAAAGAATAGGTTAAAAAACGAAAATTTTTGAGGAACACTCACGGTAGTAGAAGAGATGGGTCAGCATACGGGGATGGAGGCTGGTTCCGAGGCAGAGGGCAGATTACTGCCCCTCAGGTGAATCACCATTACTAGGTGAATCACCATTACTAGGTGAATCACCATTACTAGGTGAATCACCATTACTAGGTGAATCAATATCACTGTCACTTACAGTTGTTATGGCTTCCCTGACAAATCCCTCAAAATCACTTCACTATCACTATCACTGGCTTGGGCTGGCTGTGGTGGGTTGCGGGCGAAGAACTCGGTTATGCTTTGCTGACGGCTGGCTTTGATGTTGTCATGATACACCGTGATGTACGGCTCCATAGCCTGCACCAGTCGGGTATGGAAGACGTCATGGCGTTCATCGTCAGTGTCGCGGGAAACGATGGACTTAATTTTTTCTGTTAACTCTATGAGACACTTAATATCACTATGACTTAAACTAGGTTCTTCGGAGAATGACGCACCTTCTTCCTCCTCTTCACTGGCGGGTTCTTCTTCCAACATCTCGTCGGCAGTCACTTCAGGATCTCTGATCACCTCCATGATGTCTTCGTTGGTGGTCTCGGAGAAGCCTTCAGCTGTAATACTGAGCGCAGCTTCTCTGGCAAGGTCCACTGCTATTGCAACAGTCTGAACCTGACCAGTCACAGGTTCACTCCTCCTCTCACCTGGTATGCCATGCAACACATGTCTCCATGCGTGACGAATCGTAGCAATAGTCAGCAGATCCCATGCCTCCACCAAGAAGTCTACAGCTTGTTTGACGTTAAACTTCTTCCAAAATTGTTTGACGAGAAGTTCTTGAGTCGCCGCCTCTTGTTCCTTGTCCTCGTCGCTTTTACTCTCGCTGTCGGTGTCACCCAGCTTACGCAACTCATCCTTGGTGTTGGTAGAGTCGTTCAGGAGCTTGAATTTCTTTGCCGAGTATGCAGCTTTAACATTGCAGATTAACTCCTGGTCCATGGGCTGGATTAATGACGTAGTGTTGGGAGGAAGGAAGACCACTTTTACGTTGGGGTGATGATCCATAAGTAGGGGCGAGTGTCCAGGTGCGTTGTCAAGGAGCAACAAAATATTGAAAGGAACATTCTGTTGCTCGCAGAATTTCTGCACGTCAGGAACAAAACAGTTGTCAAACCAGAAGAGGGACAGAGAAGAGGACATCCACGCCTTACGTGCGGTTAGCCAGTGGACATTAAGCTTGTTCATGTCCATATTCTTGTAGGCGTGCGGCTTGCGGGCTTTGTGAATCACCGATAACTTTGGTTTACAGGTACCGGAGGCATTGGTGGTAAACAGGACGGTGATGCGTTCCTTCTGCATCTTCCGGCCCCTTACCTTGCTCGCAGACTGGACAACGAAGGTCTTGGAAGGTAACTTTTTCCAGAAAAGACCAGATTCGTCCATGTTAAACACCTGGTCGTCAGTGTACTGTCCTTCCTCCATAATCTCACGTAAAAACGGAGGAAAATCTCTAGCCGCCGCACGGTCAGCACTCGCTTCCTCACCAACAATGCTGATGTTGGTGACCTTGTTCCTCCTCTTAAACCTATGCAGCCAACCATGGGAAGCATTGAAGGGTTTGGGCTCTGCAATTCCCAGTTTACGTGTCACTGCTGCGTATAGCTCACGTGCGTACTCCTGCACTGAGCGCGTGTTCACCGCCATGTTGCGTCGCGCCTGACGCACCAAATAACTCACCAGCAAAGTTTCCACTTTTGCCAGCACCCTGTTCTGGCAATACCTGATAGATGAAGCACCTGCAGACTTTGTGATCTTCATGTGCTCCTTTATCTTGGCTGCATCCTTCTTTATTGTACGAATCATAGATTCGTTGACGCCATGCTGGCGCGCGAGATCAACTTGGCGTCTTCCTTTCTCCAAATCTTGAACAATTTGGTACTTCAGCTCGTAGCTTAATGAACGTCGTGTCTTCTTTGGTTTAGTGCCGCTGGGTCCAGGTAAGGAAAGGTTTCTCTCTGGGGGTGGTGGTCCGGCGGAAGCCATTTTACGGAACAATGGATGCGCGTTAACCCGGCGTGGCCTTGAGGGATGAAACTGCCGCGGCTAGGTCAAGCGTCGTCTCTCCTCCCTCCCTCCCTCCCCGGGGTAGTCACGTCATAATACTTTAAGCCAATTACAGCTAGCAGCAGAGGGGGGTAGGGCTGCATGGCCAATCACAGTCCGAGACGTCATATGACGTCAGTGATAACGCAACAAAGACACACACTGCGCAACCTTACCGCGCCGCTTACCCAAGCGGAGGGAGGAGGAGGGAGAGGCAGGCAGGCAGGCGGGCGGGTGGGTGGCGCGTGGCGCGTGGGCAAAATCTAAAAATAGCATCCGAGCCGGACACTCACCGCGTATATGTGGAAAAAACCCGCGTTAAGTGAAAGTTCAGCTTTGGCAAGGCACCGCGTATATGCGAAAACGCGTTAAGTGAAAGCGCGTTAGGCGGGGTAAAACTGTACTGTAATAATTAATTCCAACAATTCGTTAATTATGTTGATAACTATAATGTAAATAATTTGCAAGTAAATTCTTCTTGGGATGGCAGAGAAATTTCAAAATGAGTTTTCTTGAAATTTTGATTTTATTTAAAAAAAAAAATAATCCCAACCAAAATGCTTTAAACTTGGATACAATCAATACTGTATAGATATGCAGAGCATATATAAAAATGATGATAATTGGATAATAAATAGAATTGTCCAAGTTGGTATCCTTAATTCAGGTTATGCAAATTAGCAGTGCCCAGACATGGGCTTGGACCAGTGATTTTTCGTATCCATGTGCCTGACACTTGCCCGGCAGACAAGTTAATATTTTCAGAGGAAAATACCTAGATGGGAATTTGTTAAGAGCTGCGTGACCCTGCCTCACCGTCAATGTTTAATTAGAGACGTCTATCAACCGGCCGCTTTTCATCAGTGTACAGTATCAGGATTAGTGACCTATATTAGATGAAGGTAATATATCTCGACATAAAGCCGTCAACCCGCCTCTTGTCAGTCAGTGTCAAGCTGTCAACATTTCAAAGAAGCCACCAAACTGTGAGGCTGTAGACATGAGGTGAGAGGAGTTATGACCTCACATGACAAGTGTTACTGCCACTGACACCAGTTAGATGGACACAATTGATCTGTGAGTTGATACAATAAATTTTGATATTTTAAGATATTTATTCAACTTTTCCCATAAAAAAATCAGGCAAGTAAATTTCCTCCAAAAAATTGTCAGGACAAATAAAATACATACTTGGCAAATAAATTTAAAAAATCATTTGCCTAATCTGCACAGGTTATTTTAATTAGTACCCTTCCACTAGTTCTTTTTTCCATGCTCATTACTGTTTTAAGAAAATAACTGCAGATGCTTTTCCTTTTTGACAAGCTTAAATTGCTTTAGGGACACGATTCAAATGCACAAAGTTTTTAATTCACATCAAATTGATCATTTTGTATGTTCATGTTGATCTTTTTCTGACCACTATGTTGATAATTCATCCTCTAATACT